TATTGATACAACAGTTGGGTTAGAGTTTATAAGTTTTGGTCACACAAGTCATGCCGTTATAGACAAATGTATTATCGATAGGAATATATTGTGAAGTGAGGATTTTGATGGCTTCCTGTGCGGCACAACCGGCAATGAATGCAGAGATTGAATGCAATTGAGATCCTCCGTAACGACAACTGAAATCATATACAAATTTATTGCAAATAATTGTTACGAGAATTCATTCAATTCTTACATTTCATGGATTAAGTCATCCTTTATTATAGAATTAGATCCAAATTCATTAGAAATCTCTTTGAGATATGACTGAAATTTAAAAACATTTTTAAGCTATGGTTTAAATAAGTTAAACATTGCGAACAAACCTTCAGAAGTGAGACATCACTTTCGACCTCATCGTGAGACTGACCGGGATATCGGTTATGAAACGAATAGAATTTGTCCACTAATCTCATCAGAAGATAATATCTAAGCTCATCGTCTTCGGTGTCTTCGTCGGCGATTCCCATCGTATTAACAATTTGTCGCAATCGATGGCCACTGAGTTCGGTGTCGATCTCTGAGGTGCGGACAACACGCAAATAGTGAGCGCTTTTACAAAACAAATTCATGTCGTTTTCGGTGACATTCAGATTGTGAGCCTTCGGGAGAGTCTGTAATATATTATACACACATTCGGCGTCTTCTTTGGCTTTTGAGCGATAAATTCGTTGCAATTCTATATATTTAGTCGAATTAGAGCTCATGTCAGGTATGGTTCCTCTTAATGGCAAACAATGGTTTTGATCCACAAATTGTTTCATAGCTTTCACTGACAGCCAGAATGAAGAGCCGTTACAGTCGTTGGAAGCGATGATCGGATCGTTTAGCAGAGACTGAATTTCGGGTGGAATATAATCGGAAGCCATTAATACAGTGTTTATCGCTTTGATTGCTTCTTCAAAGTTCTCGAGATCCAAGTCTTTAAAGTCTTCGTCTTCTGATTTACTCTTAAGATTGTCTTTTAATACATCGATGTCTTCGCGGATCAATTTTTTCAGTTCATTCTTCTCTTTGAAAGTTTTGGGTAAATCTTTGGGCTTTCGGTTGAAGTGTTGCCTCCATTTCAAGAGATACTTATAAAGAATGACTAAAAACGGTGTCTGAGATAACTCTTTACGAGACATGTCTTCAAACTTTTCATACGAATCCAAGTATTGTTTCAATTGATGGAAAGGTTCGTCAAGTCTTAAGTCTTCAAATGGATTCTAATTTAGTCGAATTAGAGCTCATGTCAGGTATGGTTCCTCTTAATGGCAAACAATGGTTTTGATCCACAAATTGTTTCATAGCTTTCACTGACAGCCAGAATGAAGAGCCGTTACAGTCGTTGGAAGCAATGATCGGATCGTTTAGCAGAGACTGAATTTCGGGCGGAATATAATCGGAAGCCATTAATACAGTGTTTATGGCTTTGATTGCCTCTTCAAAGTTCTCGAGATCCAAGTCTTTAAAGTCTTCGTCTTCTGATTTACTCTTGAGATTGTCTTTTAATACATCGATGTCTTCGCGAATCAATTTTTTCAGTTCATTCTTCTCTTTGTAAGTTTTGGGCAAATCTTTGGGCTTTCGGTTGAAGTGTTGCCTCCATTTCAAGAGATACTTATAGAGAATGACTAAAAACGGTGTCTGAGATAACTCTTTACGAGACATGTCTTCAAACTTTTCATACGAATCCAAGTATTGTTTCAATTGATGGAAAGGTTCGTCAAGTCTTAAGTCTTCAAATGGATTCT